ATGGATATGCTTGAATACAAGGTAGTCAACATCATCCAAAAATATATACTACAAGCACATGTCATCTACTGCCTTCTCTTCTACTACTAATATGCTAAGTCAACACATCTTATTAAATGCTTCAAAGATACACCAAAGCTTCACTAATTTCTTAATCACACATAAAGCAACACTTGATTAAACCCTAATTAATAATAATAGGTTTGAATAGCAACATGTATTTTTATTGCTTAGAAAAATCTTAGAAAATTACCATAGTACAGTACTACCCTAAGTAGTCTACCATCAGATTTTCATGGTATTTGAATGAGTGGATTAGCCTACACAAAAATAACAAGCTATGGCATGATTATGAACATGAAAATACTTTGTATTGTGAAAAGTGTCAAACAACAGAGGAAATATTTTTTTTATGTTCTACACAGCAAATAACCACTGTACAAAAATTATCACATGCATGTTTTATAAAAATTTTGCTCTCTAGCAAAATTAATAGAAATCAGCCATTAAAGGCACTTGAACTACACCTCATAATTTTTCTACAGCACATGCATGACACATATTTTTCCTAGGAAGCACATTACATAAGAAGATTAACAAACTTGGAATCATATTTTTCTGAAGCCTATAGGTTTTTCTACACATTTTTCAAGTTATCAGCAATATTAAGAATTAATTAAAGCTCTACACAAAAGTATCTTAAAAATAACATGCAATATTTTTATCATGTAGATCTGGTGACAATAAACCTAGAAAAATTTGTTTCAACAAATTTGGAGCCAAAATGAGTACACAAACATTTTCCAAAGTATTTAACAGAAATCTGAAAATTCATTTCTTAATTCCTTTTTAAAACCAGCCGACAAAGTTGCTGGGTGCACCCGGTGCTGTACACCCAGAGGGGCTGCCACGCGGGACCCGCGGTCAAGCCGGACTCACGCGTCGGCCGGAGCCGAGAAAGGGCCTCCGTTGACCGGCCGGCTCTTACCGACGGCGAGGTCCCCGGCGAAACGGAGGACACCAACGTGCTCCCCATGACAAACCGCGTCGGATAGAGGTGAATAGGGAGGGGCAGTTCATGGGAGAGAGGCTCGCCGACGGCAATGGCGGAGCGGCGGCGCGGGTCGTCGCCGGTGGAGCATCTCCGGCCACGGTATGGCGAAAGGAGGCGCTCGGGAGACTCAACATCGCGGTGTGGTGCTTGTGCGCGCGAAGGAAAGGCGGGAAGGGAAGCGGAGAGGGGGAGTCCACGGGAGCAAAGCTCACCAGTGAGCTCGGTCGTGCTCCGGCGAGCAATTCCCAAGGAAGGGATGCTTACCACGGCGAAGTAACGCGAGCACGGGGTGCGCGGGGTGAAGGCGGAGCTACTGGCGAGACGGAGTGGTCGCCGGCGAGCTGTGGTGGCCGGGCGAGCCAAATCCGGCGAGGGAGCCGGTGGCGGAGCTCGTGGCGCACGCGGGAGCTGCTGCTGCTGCTGCGGTCGCTGCTGCTGAGTGAGTGAGGGAGTGGAGTGGGGAGCGCAGCGCTGGCGGGCAGAAGAAGGTGAGCGCTGGAGGGCGAGGCAGGCCATGGCTGCCGCGCGGCGGGCGTCGCCGGCGCATGGTCGCCACGCGGCGGTCGTGCTTAGCGCTGGTCGGGACGCGGCGCGCGGGAACGGCGCGGCGCAGCGTTGAGGCAGGCCGTGCGCGCGAGGTGGGCTGGGCCGGACGAGCGGCGGGCGCGGTGGCAGGCCGAGCCGGCTTTGGCCGTGGGCCGAGAAAGGAGGCGGCGGCCCGCGAAAGGAGAAATCATTTTTCTCAATTTCCATTTTTAAGAAATTTTTAAATACCAGTTTTTAAATATCATTTTGAGTAAGAAAATGACATCTTTTGAAAATGTCCCAAAAATGAAAGTTGCTTAGAATTTAATTCTCTACAACTTTGCTTTTATGACCAAAGTCCAATTCTTGCTAGATTTTGAATTATAAAATAAAAGTCAATTTTAACTCAAAACCCTAATTTTGGAGAGTTATTTTTAAAGCAAAATTTGGCAATAACTTGAATACAAAATTTGCTCCAAAAATTGCGCTAAATAATTCTAGGTGATTTACAATCATAGCCAAACATGTTTTACTAACCTAGCAAGCATAATTTGGGCAAACACAACTCTAAACAAGTGTATGTAACATTCATGTTTCACGAGCATGTTTCATATGTTTCGAAGCAGGGTTTCAGTTATTATTTACATGATTAGGCATGTATGATTAGGATGCTTGATGATGCATAATATGTATGATTTGCAGTGCATAAATGTTGGTCCTAACACCGGGGTGTTACAGTGGAGGTGGAAATATAGCAGGAGGAGGAAACAGTGGGGGGAGGTGGAGGTAGAAATATAGCAGGAGGAGGAACAGGCAAGGAGGAAGCCTTTGCGTCAAAACTCCTTCGCTCGGTATAGGAGGACAGTGGGCGCTCAGTATAGGAGGACAGTGGGCAGCAGGTGGGAGCATCTCGGTAGGTAAGGCTACAGCCGCAGCCGCCAACACATGTTGTTTAACAACTAACCATCCGACTATGGTTGTATTGTACATTGAAGGGGCTCAGAGCAGAGGCGTAGCTGTGTTGATCTTAGGGTGCAAATGCCCCCCCCCCCCACCCCCAACACACACACAAGATAATAAAAACAATAGATTTGATTAAAAATTCATCCACAAGGCAAGTGAATCCTCTTTAAAGAGTTTCCCCTTGGTCCAAGAAGACGGCGGATAAAATTGAACTGTACAAAACGGCAAGAAGTTCAAGCATTGGTGTCACACTACTGTGCCTACCCTTGCAAGTAGGAAAAATGAAAACATACATTAGGGTATGTTTCTGTCGGTAATTCCAACCCAAAATCTTCTTGACAATGTAAGAAGCGGGGCTTTGTGGGGGTTCTTGGCAATGTCTGGGCACGCAGAGGGCAGTGTGATGTGTTTCATGTGTACTTATATAGGCAAAATTTTTAGCATGTGTGAGAATTCAGACTTAATGCAGAGAACCACACAGCTGTACCGAACTGCCATACTCTAGTTCAATCTTCAATCTTGGTGCACCAGCATCACTTCGCAATCTTAATTGGCAGACCCAGAGAAGGCGAGGTAGTTCGCTCTTGTACTCACTCATATTCCTCGAAGTTGGAGTATATGCGTGTCCCTATCATTTGAGTCTGAACCCATCTATAATAAAGATATTTATTTCTGTATTTAAAGAAATGTCTATGATATATATGAACTGATATATCGAGAATTCAATTAATATTCCCATTGCATTTGAAATAATTTTCGTAAACATGTGCGTGTCGCACGGGTATATTTGCTAGTCTAATAAAATACAGAGTTAGTTTCATTAATTTATCCGTGAAAATGTCTTATAGTGTTTATTTGAACTTGTAGGTGAGAGAAGTTTGATTCAGAAAAAAAAAAATAGACCTATAATTTGAAACCGATGTGGCTGTCTATTGATATTTTGGACCGTTTGGCTTGGGAACCGATGGCAAAACCGTGTACATACTCCAGGCAGTTTGATTAACGTATGGCTTTACGGAAACGCTAGGATCAGGGTGCCCCGGTTATCTTTTCGTCTGACTTCTTATCCACCGCTAACTCTCCACTCTCGAGTTATTAATAAAAAACGGATCCCACACTCGTTCACGCCGCCCCGCCCGCTTGCTCTGCTTGCGGGACGGACCCTGTTCTCGCCGCGCGCCCCTGGTCGCACCCGCGCACTCCACGGGATGGCTTCACGACCTGGATCCAGTCTAGAAGGGTCACAATGGTGGATCGGGGTGAGGGGCATGCGGGAGGGGAACGGGCGGCACCGGTGTGAGAGGAGGCGTCGGAGAAGAGCATGGAGGCGGGGAAGGGAAGCTGTCGCCTAGAGCGCCGTATGTGGTGACGAGCCCTCACCCTCGAGGTTGAGGATCCATTAATCGGGACAATCCATGGGAGGAGGCGTAGGAGTCTAGGAACGGGGAGGATTGGCTGCGTGATTGACGGGGGACACAATGGATCGTCGCGGGATTGATGAGGCGGCGGTGATGTGGGTAGGCTAGCGGGTAAAGGAATTACTCGGTGACAAAAAAAAATGGCCACGGAGGATGGCCGATTGGCTTTTTCCATGGCAGGAACACGTAAGATGTAAGATGGTAGGTGGTGCACCGCTAGATTGATATGAAGCGTTAGATTTAAGGACACTCTGTTATCTAAGGGTTTATATTAAAGGTGGGTAAGTATTTTAGGTAAAAAGCTATTATCAATTCCTTCGCTCTTTTATAGTATAGATAGAAGGTTAAGTGTATTTCTACTATTTGTGATTATTGTATCCCTAGAAGGAATTGTCCCATTTATGGCGTATTGTATCCCTAATTCCTATATATGATTATCATGCTTGATGTACTGTTATGTAAACTCGATAACGATTCTTGAAAGGTGAGGTGATCAGGCGAGCGGGACTATTCTTCAGAAAATGGAATAGACAGGTGCGAGTCAAAGCAGGAGTTCATTCGCTTGAGTTACAATTTACTGCTCTGGGTGCTGCTTTGACTGGGGACTTTGGCAATGGTGTGGCATAGACTATAGACCCAATCCAGCTTCACAGATTTCTCACATATAAATAGGCACATAAAAAAGAAACGGTCAAGAATATATCCATCTCAATTCAAAACAGAAAAACGGCTCAAGAAACTTAGGACTCAAAAACCTAAGTACCTAACATACCCGAGCAGCAACTGCTACAGCAGACTCTATTTTACATTCAGATTGGCAGCTTGGACACCAGGCTATATTTTACGAAGTTAATGCAAGTATACCTCTGTATTTCAAAATTCAAATACACCGGCCAGCCAGGCCCCCGTGCAGAAACCAATCAATTAGAATTTGGAAACGTGAAGGACCACGCTATTCAGCCCCATAACTTGGTTGATGATGTTAGTTTTTGCTTGACAAGTGCCATACAATGTATGAGCAGCTACATGATGCTGCATCTTCAAGTCCCATCGCTTGGGTTCCAAAAGAAGCTGCTTCCTTTGGCTGAGTATCCATGTGGAAGATGAGGTCCATAGACGACGTTTTCAGAATGTGGAAGATGAGGTCCATAGACGACGTTTTCAGAATGTGGAAGGTGAGGTCCATAAACAACGTTCCCATTCAGAAACGTCATTTGGTTCACCTGCGGCGTTGTTTGATAAGCATTTGGAGCATTAACTTGACTGGGGGTGTTAACATGTGGATGAATATTTGTATTGGTATCCTTCTGGTTAGCCTTTGGCTTGCTCCTAGCAGTCCGTTTGTTTTCCACAGGACTGTCTGCAGTCAGCCTGCCCATTTGCTGCTGAATTTCATTCAGTGGACTACTAGACAGTTTTGACTTGGCACTCTTTTTGGAGTCAGAGGACTTGTACTCAAGACGGTACAAGGCGAGGGCATCAGAAGCATTGATCTCATATTCGAAAAGATGCCACTCATGGCTGCTTGATGGTTGTGGGTCCATGTAATAGGACCTCTTCAGACCTGCGAAATCTTTCATTACCTGCTTCCTTGATTCATGCCACCCACGACCACTGTAATCTGGCAATGACCTTTGCTTCCGGTTGCCACTCTCAAATGCTCTTCTTGGAGTGTCAAAGAACAGCCATTCTCTAAGAGATTCACCCTCCAGAAGAGAAAGATCGAAAAGTTCTGCAACAACAGCACAAAACAAAAGTTAGCAAAATAATTTGATACTATCAACATTAACCAGACATGCTAGCACTAATATAACAATACTTACCAGGTGCATTCCATGGCGATTTAGAAGTAGCAGCACCTCCACACACAGGAATACCAACATTCTTTCCTTGGACTTTTGCAATGAGAGCAGCAAACAGTGGCCCATCTTTCAAATCAATACCTTTTGGGCGCATCACAGGTCTTGTCCCAAGAAGACCATCATCATTCAAAGCCAAACCAGCATGGTAAGGGTTGCAGTAATCTCCAGAGTCCTCTGTCCCTCCAACTGGCCTACCACAGTCCCAAAGTGCACATTTTGGCCCCAAATACTGAGAGGGTGATGGCCATATTGTTGTAAGCAAGTCTGACATGTGAACAAAGACATCTCCAGTATTTTGCTCAGAGTTATTTGCATCAGCATATGAATGGGTAGGTGGCAGATCTAATGGCAAATCAAACTGTTGATGTTCCAATTGGCCAATCCCATGCAGGTTATTGAACTGATCTTCATTAGAACCAGAAATATTTATTTTGTAATCATCATCACAAAGAAAATCATCAATACTAAGTTCTTGGTCTATATAGTACATCTGCAAGCAAAGTAAGACAGGCTCATTAAAGCTATCAATAGAGATGGTAAAAGAAACATGATCATCTACATGCACCCCAAAAAAATGGAATGGAATGAAACGGCTTGTTGTCGGCTAACCCAACCCCTGCCGGTTATTGTCCTCTGTTTTGTGTCTAGGTTCGTAGTCATGTTTCAATCCTACAAGTAACATAAAGTGTACATATGCTCCTTTGTCACAAGGTACAGTTTAGAGCCCATAACAATCGAATTGTATCAGAAACTCGAAACTCTTGAGACATGAGGCCTAAACTTGCGATTTTTTAAGAGTATCATTATTTTTATTTACAACTAGCCTAACTACACAAAGATATACTGTCATGACTTGTACTCTTCAGAAGCTTAACAAATAGCACTAGCACATCATTCCACATGCATCAACATAGTTGTCTATGCTAGCATGCTCAAGTACAGCACTCCAGTATCCGACACTGCGAGTTGAAACAAGTCATTACTCGTGAATGAAGTTTAGTTTATGGTGCTGATCTATACTGTGGTCTATAATCTGCAACTAAACAACATAACAAGATGAAAGAAAATTAGTGGAGTTCTTATGCAAAACTGTAATTTGGCAACATGATACTGTATCCAGTTGACATGTTTTTTATCGTGATGATATCATCAACATAGTAATTAAAAAAGGCCATCCTACACATATAGATATCCTTTAGAGCAAAAAGCCTCAGTGAAGAGAATGCATAAGTGACCAATCACTCAAGAGTTACACACTATCCAACAAAATTCACATGCTTGGATTCTTAGAATGACTATAGCAGTACAATGTTAGTAATTCGTCAACAAAAAAATTAAGTCTAACAGACAAGCTCCTCCACGTTATCAATCTGTTAAAAAAAAGAACAGTTCCCAGCTCGATAATTGAAAATGCAAATACTACCTGATCATTGAACATTGCATTAGCAACAGCAGCCACTTCTCCACAATCTCCCTCCACTCCCTGACCTAGAGAGTGCTGCGCAGGAGCAGTGCCCCCATCCATAGCTTCACACTGCTGATCAGTATTGGCCATCCTGCTGTCCTGCGCGTGCTCGTGGCTCTGATGACAAGGCGGCGCCTGCTGCGTCGATTGGGGCACCAGGAGCTTACTGGTGGCGTCGTCCTCCTCCTCGGGCACCACCAGCTGCAGCAGTCGCAGCGTATCCGACGGTGGATCCGAAGCCTCCCGGTTGTTCCCCTGCGAGTTCTGCGCCGCACCACAACTACCCGTCAGCACCAATCTACCGCGCACGAAAGGGGAACGGTGGGACGGCCGGAGGGCTAGGGTTCGGGGGACTTGCCTGGAGAGAGGAAGCCGGGGATGGGACGCTGAGCTCGGCACGCCACTCACGGAGCATCTGGTGGACCTGCTCCTCGAGGACGGCGGCGTCGGCGGAGCGGCTCTCCTTGCGAGCGGACTGGAGGCCGCAGAACATCTCCTGTAGGTCGTCCACGCGGACCTTGGCTCGGTCGCGGAACTGCCGGTGCCGCGTCGACGAGCGGGAACTCTTGCTCCCCGCCGCGGGGTGGGCGTCACCGCCGCCCCCGGCGGCCGGATCTCCCGCCATCGCGCTGATCAAGGCGGCTCTGGTGGCGGGGCTGCGGTGGGCTTGGGAACGGACGATTGACTCGATTCGCCCTCTGAGTTGGTTTTGTAAAAAAGGGACGTTTTCCCCTTCCTTTTCTTTCTTCTTTCTTTTTGTGTAAATAAATGTTAACTACCTATCCTTACCTAAATTTTCGTTTGAGGAAATTGCGGGGAAGAAACACCACCCTTTCTCTTTGCTTATTATTATATTGTTTTTTCTTTTGATTTTCTAAATGCAAAATGCTACGCTAGTTAAAATTGAGAAATACACATATCATATTGGTAAGAATTTTGGTGAATTCACACATGTGATGAAAATTTCAGGGAGACAAAACAAGAGGACTTTGCGTAAAGGATATTATATGGCGACACCACGCTCTGCTCCAGTCACGTTTAACCATAATGTAGACGCCTTTTCACTCGAGCCATTTGTTGGTTATGGTGACATCAATAGACACACATACGTTCATGAGGCCGATGATGTGCTCTTGTGGACTATTTAGTGTTATGTCCTCTCTATTTATTGACGGGCGCTTGATCTGTTTGGGATGGGCGAGTGTAAGTGTTTGCTTTGAAGATACGATCACATGGATGGACATAGACAATTTGCCCACTGGATGGGTAGTCTGATCGCTTGCTTTGGTGGTCTGGTTGTGGATGAATTTGCGGCTACTTCTTGAAACATCATATTTATCTCTAGTTAGAGGCTTTCGTACCAATCCGGAGTCGCTTTGGCATTGACTCATGGAATCTCTTATTCGGTTGTTTCATCATGTCCTTCATATGGACCTACATATACTAGGTTGTGCCTATTAGCTAGCTGACAACATTGTCATCATGGGGTGGCCTAGTGGCGGATAGGGAAATACATTAGGAGGTGCTTCTTCTATTATCTTTCATCTCTAGTCCTTCCTATTAAACTTCCATGGATACTAATTTGTAAGGGGGGACTAAGAGGGGGCTCTATGCTTCGAGTAGAAGTAGCGGAGGTTTGAGCACACTCCGCTCTAGTGCTAGATCCGCCCTTGGGGTGGCCTATCTAAAAAATGGTAAGCACCGTTCGGGTCTCCACCAACCAAACCGGACATTCGGCCGCCGCTCCTCGCCGTTTCTTCCCAATTTTCGCTCCCTAGAGCCGAATGAGATCGAGGAAGCTAAAAAAGTAGTTTCATTTGCCTTCTCGACCGTGCACTCGGATCTTCTCCAAAATGGCCTCTGCGAGTGAGGCGCTGGGTACGAAGCCGTGAGGTTGTGGAGTTGCTAGGGCATCGAGTGCGTGCCTGCCTGCCAGTGTTGTGAGTCGTCAGAGCACTGGGCATGGAGCCACCGAGGCACGCAACCGATGTCGCGTAGGGGCGCGCCGCCGCTAGGGCTTTGAGATGCCGAGGCGCAGGGGCTTTGCGCGCTGGGCTTCGATGTGCCAAGGTCGGATGAGATTGGAGACACAGTGGCCTCGCGGGCGATAAGGGATAAGAAATTGAAGAGATGAAAAAGAAAGGGAGAAAACAAAGGTAGAATAAGAAAAGGATGCTATAGAAATTTCATTCTTTTATATACTATGAGAATCTGTTTAACCAAATGTGTTATATCAAAACTGCTACATAAAGTTGTACCAAATGTCTATTTGGGCACCGGTTTCTCGAGTCTGTCTAGATAGAAATTCCTATGTATAATCTTAATTAGTCGTACCAGGCAGTGATAATATTGTTGTTGATTTTTTTTATGAAGGCCTTGTGTGTAGTTCAATAAATTACTCACCAGGGTAAAAATACACATTTGCTATGTGATAACCGGTTGTTTTAGGAGGAAATTCCTTGTGAGCCATTAAAAAAGATCACAATTCTTTGCGAGCCACTGAAAAAGTTTAGCGGGCTTCAGCGTCACTGCTCCAACTTTTTTTTGCCCTCCATGCCACTGCCGTCAGATTCGGCTCTAACGGTGTCAATTGCAGGCGTGAAAAGTTGAAAATACCCTTAGGTCTAAATATGCCATTAATTTTTTAGTATCTTAACGACTTCAAATGGAAAAACTCAAAACTAGAAAGTTGTAGATCTCGTCGAGATCTACAATTTTCGTATAAAAATTATCTTCATTTAATACCACAAAAAAGATATGATTTTTGTAAGATATATTAATCATATCAAATCATGTCTTTTTTTACCGAATTAAATGAAGATAATTTTATATAAAAATTATAGATCTCGACGAGATCTACAACTTTCTAGTTTTGAGTTTTTTCATTTAAAGTCGTTAAGATGCTTAAAAAAATTAATGACATATTTAGACTAAGGATATTTTTGATTTTTCACACCTACAGTTCGACACCGTTAGAGCCTAATATGACGGCAGTGGCATGGAGGGTAAAAAAAATTTGGAGCAGTGGCGCTGAAGTCCGCCGAACTTTTTCAGTGGCTCACAAGAAATTACAATATTTTATAATGGCCCACAAGGAATTTCCCCTTGTTTTGGACGTACGATCTAGACTGGCTGGCATCGGATCCCCGCTCCCTCCTTCGTCGCAGAGCTCGCAAGCCGCCGCCGCCACCAGGCGCGGGCTTGCTCCGCACTCACTCCTTCGTCGCATAGCTCCCACACCGCCGCTACCCAGGCGCGGGCTTGCTCCCCGCTCCCTCCTTCGTCGCAAAGCTCGCAAGCCGTCGTCACCTCTAGGCGCGGGCTTGCTCCCCGCTCACTCCTTCGTCGCATAGCTCCCAGACCGCCGCTGCCCAGGCGCGGGCTTGCTCCCCGCTCCCTCCTTCATCGTAGAGCTCACAAGCCGCCGCCGCCGCTAGGCGTGGGCTTGCTCCCCGCTCGCTCCTTCGTCGCATAGCTCCCATACCGCCGCTGCCCAGGTGCGGGCTTGCTCCCCGCTCCCTCCTTCGTCGCATAGTTCCTAGGCCGCTGTTGCCTAGGCCCAGGCGCGGGCACGAATGTCCAGGGCACAGGCGCGGCTGTCCCCGGCATGAGCGCGGCCCTCCACGGCATTGGCGGCGTCCCCGGTGGTCGGTCCTGGCGCGGGCGCAGGTGCAGCTCCCTCCCGTCCACCATTTGTGCGGCTCCCTCATGCGCACCATTTGTATTTTTTTTTTAAATTTACGAAGAATTTGTGAATAATTTGATATATATTTCTCTTATGTCTAGAATCCATAGAGATAATTTGTATTTTTTTTTGAAAAAATTTGGCATATATTTGTGTTATTCTCAAATTACATCACCTCGTCCGAAGAAATTATACTGAAAAAAATTATTGTAAATATAGTAATAAGATGGTTTAAATATAGCTATAAGACAATGTAAGTGTACGAGAAAAATAGTTGTTGGGAGGGGCTAAAATAACCAGTAGTTGGCTAGATAGATTCTAAAAATAATATAATATTAACACACCGGAGAAAACCAGAGAGAAACGGCGGTCTCCTTTTCCTTTTAGTTTTATGTGAATATTATTTTAACATTTTTAGCATACCATATATAATATTTGGATTTGGTCCAGAGCAAAGAATGGCCGTCTTTTCCCTAAAAAAAAAGAATGGTCATCTTTTATTTACACAGACATGCGCCTTTTTAGATGGACCACTCGCGAGATCGTGGGCTGCGGCTGCGATCCCTCACAATATTGGGCTCAGTTCTCCGGATCCAATCGGCCAATCTTCACCTAAACAGAAACTGACCACTCGTGAGATCCACTGGGTTCCGCCCCTAGACTGGGCCTCGCCAGTTTCAATCTTAATTTTGTGTGGCTGTGATCGCTCCATCCATCCATCCTTGCACAGGAACGCGCGCGGCCCAAGCAAGAGGACTCATCATCATGCATGGGTGGACAAGATTGTCAAGATATGCACGCGCGCATGCTGCGTTGTCGACTTGAGCTGTTGCGTTGCACGTTCCTGTGATCTGGACCTCAAACCGATCCATCAACGCACTCGCACCGCAGGTTCTTCTCCCGATCTCGTTTATTTGGTGTGTGATTGTGGTAAGGTAGAGGTTGTGGCGAGGTCGGCGTACGGTTGGCGACCCCGAGTAATCAAGTGGTGGCGTTGCGTCTCAGCGGCAGTCAGCATGAGGGACGGACGTGTCCCTAATGCATTTTCCATCTTATATGGTGCGTCCACATGTTCAACGTGTGTCCCTAATATAATGCGCAAAGGTCTCTGTTTCACGATTATTAGTTCTCCATTAACATGACATGTCACGGCGAGATGATAAGATAAGATTCGGCCACCTTGTGAGTTGTGATGGCAATCGTTCGAACACAGGAGCGTACTATCGCTGATCTCGAATTGGGTGCTCATCGTCCCTTCTCGCGTGAAATTCGTGCACGCTGGGGCATTTCCATTTGACGACTGGAGTAGAAACCAACAGATAGGCAAATCACAGTGTCAACATCTCGTCATCCTCAACGTTTCAACCTTCACCATATGTTGATCCGTCTTAAGAAAAAAAATTCCATGTCCACCAAACAAGAAAATTGGATTATTTAATCAAATAGTAGGTAATCATTTCTTCAAGAATTAATACTACAGATGTGGGGGTTTTTTCAACGGCATCCTCGCTGATTTTATTAGAACATTTGGTGACAACATATCACCGCCAGTTCTCGTCTTGAACCGACAATGAAAATTATTTTCACCACCGGTTCAAGAAAAAACCCGATGGTGAAAAACTGGTGCAGCCCGCACATTCGATTCCCTCTCCGATCGCATTCTTTCTCTGACATGCTGACGTACGTGGAACCATACGCCCATCCTCCCAGGGCTCTCAGCCTACCTCTCCCTTCTTCGCTTCCTCTCTTTCTCCCTTCCCGCGAGAGAACCTTGCTGTCCCTCCCTCCGGGCGTCGACAACCATTTGGCAAGATATGCATGGGTGGACAAGATTGTCAAGATATGCACGCGCGCATGCTGCGTTGTCGATTTGAGCTGTTGTGTTGCACGTTCCTGTGATCTGGACCTCAAACCGATCCATCAACGCACAAGCGCCGCAG